CAAACTGTACTGTAAGCAGCAGTCATCAAAACCATTTGGTATTGGTTAGAGAATCAAGAGCTAGATCAATGGAACAGAATAGACAAAGGAGATTCAGAAACAATAGAATCCAGATCAGTTTTTGACAAAGTAGAAAACAAATTAATTACCTAGGGAAAAACCCCTTACTTGATTAAAAAAAAAAACTTCTGGGAAAACTGGAAAGTCAGGTAGCAGAAATTAGGCTTAAACTAATATCTTACACCACACTCCACATAACATTCTAATTGACATGTGACTTTAATATTAAAGATCATACTATAAAAATTAGAAGAGAAACAGATCATGTACTTCTCACATTTATGGGTGGGAGATGTATTCTTCACCAAATAAGAGAAGCAACCATTATAAAGAATAAAAGAGATAATGTTGATTGCATGAAATTAAAAAAACTTCTGCATAGACAACATTTGTGTATCTCAGATAAGGGAATTGGTCAAATGGGAAAAATGTCTTCATATAAAATGTCTCTGATAGAGGTTTGATGTCCAAAATACATTTTACATGTATGCATACATGTGTTTATCATATGTTATGCGTCTCTCTAGGATAGAGAGGTAGAGAGATGCATGGGATACTCTGGTGATATAGAAACAGAAAATATCAATAAAAACTTATCAAAATAAATAAAAAGTAGTGATTTGGAGATTTTTTAATATTGCTAGAGATAACCTGGGGTTCTTCCCTTAAGAACTAGAACTGTTTGTTCATATTTTCAGATAATTTATCAATTGAAGAATCGATCTTTTTCTTATGCATTTGAGTTACTTATGTATCTTGGACATGAGAGCTTTATCAGAGAAGCTCATTGCAAATATTTTTCCCTGTTAATTATTTCTCCTTTAGTCTTAGCTTTTCGGATTTTTTCTTTGGTATAAACTTTTAAAAAATTTTATAGAAACATTGTTATCTATGTTATCTCCTATGATCCTGTCTTACTTTCTAGTCATGACTTTTTCTCCTATCCATAACTCTGGTAGGTATTATTTTGTGTTCCTCTAATTTACTTATGATGTGACCTTTTCTACTTAGGTCACATACCCATTTGGAGCTTATCTTTGTATAAGATATGAGGTGCTAATACAAAATTCATTTCTTTCATATTGATGTCCAATTTTCCCAACAGATTTTGTGGGTTAGTGAACTCTTATCCCAATAGCTGGGATCTTTGTGTTTATTGAATGTTAGAGTATTAGACACATTTGTTTCCATATGTTGTATACCTAGTATGTTCCACTAAGGAATCTGTTTCTTAACCAGTATCATGTTATTTTAAGAATAGCTGCTATGTAATAGAGGTTGATAACTAGAACTGCTAGTTCTTTGTTCACATTTCTTTTCAATTTCTCTAGAGATTCTTGACAGTTTTTTTCTATATGACTTTCATTATTTTTTCTAGTTCTAAAAAGTAATTCTTTGGTATTTTAATTGTAATGACATGGAATACGTAAATTAATTAAGGTCATATTGCCATTTTTGTTATATTGGCTTATCTTATCCATGAAAATTTAATTTTTTTCCAATTATTTGGGTCTGTTTTTATTACTTTGAACAGTTGTTAGTAATTGTATTTATATTATTCTTGTGTCTACATTGGAGGGTAAATGCTCAAGTATTTTATACTTTGTGTGATAATTTTAAATGGATTTCTCTTTCTATTACATTTTGCTGGCATTTATTGATATTATTTCATATCCTATAAATTGTTAAAGTTATTAATTATTAAATTAATTTTAGGTGACTCCTTTGGGTTCTTTAAGTACACTATCATATCACATGCAAAAGTGATAAATTTATTTCTTCTTCATGATTATTCCCACAATTTCTTTTTCTTATCTCATAGTGACAGTGGACATCCTTGTATCACCCTTCAATTTTTTGGAAAGGATTCTAGCTTGTTTGTATTCTTAGTATACTACTATTGAATATAAATGTGTTTTATATATACAAATATAACTACAAATATACTATTTATCATTTTTTAAAAAGCCATGATGTATTTTTTCTATTTTTTTCAGAAATGTGTGTTGTATTTTGTCCACAGTTCTTTCTGCATCTATTGATATAGTAATATTATTTTTCTTATCAATATGCTTAAGTCTATAGTTTTACCAATATTAAGCCAAACTTGTATTCATGGTATAAATCCAACCTGGTCATACTGTATAATGTTTGTAATATTTTGTTTTAGCCTCTTTGTTAATATTTCATTCAAACTATGTTTATCCAAATTTATTAGGGATGCTAGTCTATAGTTTCCTTTTTCTGTTTTGATTCTCCTTGGTTTATGTATCAAGACCATATCTGTGTCATAGAAGGAATTTTATAGGATACCTTCTTTTACTATTTTTGTAATTTATGTAACATTAGAATTAATTATTTTTTACTGTTTGATGGAACTCATTTGTGAATCCATCTAGTCCTAGATTTTTTTTCTTTGAAAGCTAATTTCCAATTAACTTTCAATTTCCTAGTGGTGTATGGAAGCTTTACAAAACTTGAACATGTTTCAGGACCTCTAAATGCAGAAAGGCAGAAAAGTAGAAACATCCTATACATCCCTTAATAATCACAATGCAATAAAAGTATATTAAGGATCACAAAAAAGTCAACTGGATATTAAGATAATCCTAATGCATCATTAGAACAAAGAACAAATCCTAGAAACAATTATTCAAGATAATCGTTAAATTATTAATGGTAATCATTAAAGATAATCGTTAAATGAAAATCATTAAAAATAATGACGAAAACTGGACAACAGTCCAAAATATGGAGGTTACAGTCAAAACAATTCTCAGGGATAATTTTTATTATCTCTAAACATCATTATTTAACAACAACAAAAGAAACATCCAAATCAGCGAATTGAGAATGTAACTAAATACTAGAAAAATCATCCAACTAAAAATCCTCATTGAAATACCAAAATACAAATCTTGAAAACTATAGAAGAAATTAATGAAATTCAAAAGGGAAGAAGCAATTGAATTGATAAGCAAAACTAGGAGCTAGTTTTTTTTTAAATAAAGAGTAGTTAGTCAATTTGATTAAAAGGAAAAGAGGAAAAACAAACTTTAGTATCAAAAATTAAAAAAGAGAATTCATGACAAATGAAAAAAGAAGTACAGGATATTATTCAAAAGTATTTTTCCTCTGAGATTGCCTTGTATTTGGAATCTTTATAATGATATTGTATATTCTTATATATACTCTTATTGTCTTCCCCATTATAATGTAAGCTTCTTGTAAGAAAAAAAAGTTTCATTTATTGTATTTGTACCCTCAGAAACTAGCATAATTTCTGACACATGATAGGCATTTAATAAATACTTGTTAATTAATTTCATTACACTATTCTATTGCTTTTCTTACTACCTGTCTGACCAGTCCTACTCAGTGTCCTTACTAAACCATCACTTTATCATGTTCCCTAAGACTATACCCCATTCTCTCTAGATTCATTTAGTAACTTGATCAGCTTATATTGACTTAATTATCATCTCTATGCAAATCTTCCTCAGAAAATGTAATAACAGAAATAACCATGTTGAATGAAAAACACTAAACAAGGAATAAAACAGGGAGATATATACTTGCCAAAGGTATTTGCTACTGCAATGGGTAGAAGTCCAGGTGGAAGAGGGAACCCCTAACAATAGTGAGGTCTTCCAGATTCTTGAGATTGTGATTGAAATGTTGATTGCATCAGCCACCAAGATATAATAGAGTCTCCTAGAAGAGATCTATAATTAATTAAAGGAGTTTGATTTATCCATCCTCATAGGAAATAACAAGTAGATGAAGAATGCATATTGCCCAGATTTCGACATAAATTTTGTTGAACATACATAGGCTTTTCCAACCATATAGATAATTAGCACAGACAGCAAATAAGGATAATAATCTGTTCTCAGTTTTATAAAGGAGGAGTGAGTTGGATTGCTTTTGAGAAATTGAAATGTTCTTTTATTAACCCCAAGTTCCTCACAAAAGCAAAGGTTGATCTTCATAATCTTAGCATTTTACTAGTGTTTTTGTATGGCAGAAAGAAATCAAACATTACTGCCTCTGAAGAGCTAGACATAAGTACTACTTAAAGAGCAATGGAAAGGCACATGGTAGGTGTGAGCAGGCTACAACATATAATCCATAAAATATTCTAAAGATGAACAAGAGCCAAAGGTGTTATCAAATATTATATAACAGAAAGATAAATGTACTGGACATGTGCCAAGAGCAAGAGATAACAAGTGGGTATCCCGAGTGGCCCACTTGTACCTTCCTGATGTTGGGGAAAAGTAAGGAAGTCTCACAGCATGTTGGGTGGGTTCCTTATGGTGAATTATCATTGTGAGAATGTGTAAGAATTATACAGAAAAGGCAGACATGAATGTGTTGCAATCTCACCACTGGAGAAAACTCCCGAATTGATGAGATCATAGATCCCATTGAATATTTGTTTGTAAGAAAATTATTCCTAGATCTACATATCATCTCCAGTCTCTATGTTGAATTCCAGAACCACATTACAAACTGTCTATTAAAATTTTGAATTATATATCTCACAGACTGTAATGTACCACTTTAATAGGATAATATGAATAAATGTCAATTTAGTATAACTGATAATGTAGTGAGAAAAAGGTCTATTATCTTAATAAGATGTTCCTCAACTTAGCATAACTTAATCTATTTAGTTTGAAACCCCATTTTGTGACCCAGGTCTTAGTGTAGTGACTGGCACAGTGTAAGCACTTAATAAATACTGATTGATTGATTGATTGATTGAGCTATCTTGAGTAAGTTATTTTTCAACAATATGATAAGCACTATGTGGTATGTTGTTATAATAATGTGTATTCTTAAAAACAACTGATAACTGATACATATAATAACTGATATGTATACCTTAAGATAAGACAGACCACGTAGGTGAAAAAGTATAAATAACTTCATCAGTAATTTTGTATTAAATTATTAGTCAAATTACGTGGTAAACATTTTAGCTAAAAGCACAAAAACCCATCTGAGATTATATACATCAGTATATATTATATACATTATATACATCCTAGCTAGGTCGGGTTCTGATGTTCCCCACACTTGATACTCCGGTAAATCCATGTTGCTTGATGGTAGTGCTGATTGGTTCATGGAGATTTGGAAACTTTCCAGAAGACCATCCCTGAGAGAGATATTCAACCTTCAACTGGGCAGAGAAAGAACATTTAGTTCAGTAAAAACGAGTCTGTAAAAACCTCTAAAATGTCATTGTGGTTTGTTTTTAAAATACTTTGATTAATAAAGTTTATTGCGTGCATTAAATAGTATAAAACTAATCAGTGTTTCCATTGCACTAATTAGCATATATAACAGTAAATCAGACAGACATATACTATATGTTACACAGGCATTTCGAATTCAACATGTCCAGAACCAAACTCATTATCTTTGCTCTTAAATCTTCCTGTCTTCTTAACTGTTGAAGGCATCATGTCTAATACATGGTCAATTTTTGTAGAGGTACTATAATAGCTGAGAAATATGTATACTTTTTTCCTGTTCCCATTCAGTAATCACCAAAGAGTTATCATATCTAACTTTAAAAAATTTTTATTCAGATCCTTAACTTTTTATTGTTCATCTTTTGATTTGACTTTTCAAGGTCTAAGAGGGACAAAATGAGATTCCCAACAATTTATTTCTCCATGCAATGCAATTAACGCTTCATTTAGACATTTAGATGCTATTCCATTCAGTACATTTAGATTAAGATTTGATATTAATTCATTGCCAATGGTGCCTTTATGTATCATGTACTTTCCTTGTTTATCTCTTTTAATTGTCAATTTTTATTTTTGTGTTGTCTAAGGTCATGGTTGCTACCTTTGTCTTTTTGTTTTTAGCTCACCTATAACATAATAAATAAATAAATTGTATATTTGTTCCAGCCCCTCATTTTAAGTCCATGTGAATGTTTCTGTTTTCATTATTTCTTTTAAATAGCATATTTTACTTTCTAATCCATTCTTCTGTCACGATATGGCTCAGTTATATAATGAACACATCACAGAATGCACGAACTGATTAAGGTACTTCTCACAGGGAGATGATTAAAAGTTTGCTTGAAGGTAATCATACAGGTCATCATGTCCTCTTGAGGAGTATAAAAGCATTACTCTACTTACCATTCTTTAGCTTCTCAGACTTGAAAGGTTTCCTGGTGCCAAGTGTTCAATCGTGTTGGATTTGATTTACATTTGAAACAATAAATTTCCTCACACCTCTTTCAAATACAGCATCTCTTTTAACAAAGAATTAAAAAGAAAGAGAAAAAAGTAATTGAGACAATGGAGGTCTGTCAAGGGTTTTCTTAAGCCATCTTGTACCTGCCTATGAGAACCAATTATTAAATTTTTGATGTGAGTGTTTATACCTCAGAAATCATAAAACACTATAAATTAGGTCTAAATTTATTGTTTCATTGATTATATAGATTCAAGAAACTGATGGAAAATATTAACAATTCAGATTAAACTTTAAAATATGTCATGAATACTTTCCCCCAGAAACTGGTTGGCCAAGTCCTGACTAGACATTCTCTCTGATCCTCACAATCTCTCAAAACTCACTAAAATATGAACTGTGTGCAAAAGATATAGCACTTTCAGCTGTCTGCATAGTCTAGAACCCTAATGAAACAACAACCCAGTGAAATAATAGCAGAGAAAATCTCTAATGTGTAACTTAATCACTCAGCACCTTTTCATCCCTCTTCAAACCTCTCACATCTCCCCTACTTTTACTCTGTCATCTGAGAACCTTGCTTCCTACTTCACTGAAGAAAAAATGAAGCCATTCACCAAGAGCCACTTCTTGTATTCTCACCTCACATCACTCAGATATTTCTGCAACTCTCTCTTACTTTAGTTCTCTCTTACATGCAGAGATGGCCCATACACATGTGATCTTATTACTTCGTGTCTTCTTCAACAGATTGCCTCAACTATCACTTATCTGCAGTCTCCCCCTATCTACTGGCTGCTTGCCTATAAACATGCCTATGTTTCCTCCCATCCTTGAAGAATCCTCATGATCCACCCATTTCATTTGTTCCATTTTGTATCTCAACTCCTTTTTTATTTTTTATTTTTTTAAACACAAATTTATTTATTTTTAGTTTTCAATATTGACTTCCACAAGATTTTGAGTTCCAAATTTTCACCCCATCTCACCCCTCCCCCCCACCCCAAGATGGCATGCATTCTGAATACCTCTTTCCCTAGTCTCTCCTCTCGTCTATCTCTCCCCGCTTCTTTTATCCCCTTCCCCTTCTATTTTCCTGTAAGGCAGGATAGACTTCTGTACCCCATTTCCTGTATTTCTTATTTCCCAGTAGCATGTGAAAACATTTTTTTAAAACATATGTTTTTAAAACTTTACATTTCAAATTTTCTCCCTTCTTCCCTCCCCACCCACCCTCATTGAAAAGGCAAGCAACTCAATATAGGTTATACATGTGCAGTTATGCAAAACACTTCCATAGTAGACATGTTGTGAAAAACTAACTCTATTTCCCTTAATCCTATCCTTCCCTCCCATTCATTCTATTCTTTCTTTTGACTCTGTCCCTCCTCAGAAGTATTTGCTTCTGATTACCCCCTTTCCCAATCTGCCCTCCTCTCTATCACCCACCTGCTCTCTTCTCCCCTTCTCCCCCTATTTTCCTGTAGGGTAAGACAGATTTCCATACCCAATTGAATGTGTATGTTATTCCCTCCTTAAGCCAAATCCTATGAGAATAGGATTCACTCATACCCTCTCAACCTTCCCCTGTTTCCCCTCCACTGTAAGAGCCTTTTCTTTTCTGGTTTTTTTTTTTGTGAGATAATCTACCCCATTCTACCTCTCCCTTTCTTCTTTTCCTAGTATAATCCTCTCTCATCCCTTAATTTTATTCTCCAGATATGACCCCTTAATCTTCAACTCACCCTGTGCCCTCTATCTGTCTATCATCTATCTATCTATCTATCTATCTATCTATCTCTATCTATCTATCTATCTATCTATCTATTCATACATATATTTTTTCCCTCCAACTACCCTAATACTGACAAAGGTCTGATGAGTTATAAATATCATTTTTCCATGCTGGAATGTAAACAGTTCAACCTTAATAGGTCTCTTATGATTTCTCTTTCCTGTTTACCTCTTCATGTTCCACTTGAATCTTGTATTTGAAAGTCAGATTTTCTATTCAGCTGTGGTCTTTTCATCAAGAATGCTTGAAAGTCCTCTATTTCACTGAATGACCATTTTTTTTCCCTGAAGGATTATACTCAGTTTTGCTGGGTAGGTGATTCTTGGTTGTAATCCTATCTCCTTTGTCCTCTGGAATATTATATTCCATGCCCTGCGGTCCTTTAATGTAGAAGCTGCTAAATCTTGTGTTATCCTGATTGTGTTTCCACAGTACTTGAATTGTTTCTTTCTGGCAGCTTGTAATATTTTCTCCTTGACCTGGGAACTCTGGAATTTGTCTATAATATTCCTAGGAGTTTTCCTTTGGGGATCTCTTTCAGGAGGAGATTGGTGGATTCTTTCAATTTCTATTTTGCCCTCTGGTTCTAAAATATCAGGGCAGTTTTCCTTGATAATTTCTTGAAAGATGATATCTAGGTTCTTTTTTTTGATCATGGCTTTCAGATAGTCCAATAATTTTAGAATTCTCTCTCCTGGATTTATTTTCCAGGTTTTTCCAATGAGATACTTCACATTGTTTTCTAGTTTTTCATTCTTTTGGATTTGTTTTACAGTTGCTCTATTTTAATTTTTAAGGAAGTATTTTCTTCAGTAATCTTTTGGACTTCTTTTTCCATTTGACCAATTTTTCTTTTTAGGACATTTTTCTCCTCGTTGGCTTTTTGGACCTCTTTTGCCATTTGGGTTAGGCTATTTTTTCAACGTGTTATTTTCTTCAGTATTTTTTTGGGTGTCCTTTAGCATGCTGTTGACTTGTTTTTCATGATTTTCTTACATCTCTCTCATTTCTCTTCCCAGTTTTTCCTCTACTTCCTTTACTTACTTCTCAAAATCCCTTTTGAGCTCTTCCAAGGCCTGGGACTGATTTATATTTTTCTTGGAGGCTTTGGATGTAGGAGCTTTGACTTTGTTGTCTTCTTCTGGTTGTATATTTTGATCTTCTTTGTCACCAAAGTAAGATAATATAGTCTGACTGTTTTTGTGCTGCTTGCTTATGATCCTGGCTAATTACTTGAGTTTTAAACTCTTTGTTAAGGTACAAATCTGCTTCCAATGTGGAGAATGTACTGTCTCAAACTTTGGGGGTTTGTACAGCTGTTTTCAGAGATACTTGCAGGGACCTGTAAATTTTCAGTTCTTCCAAGGTGGTATGATAAGGGACAAGGTGTTTACTCCTCTCCTGGCCTGTGATCACAAGTACTCCTTTCTGTCCTGTAACTGTGAGGAGGGCTCCTCTCCACAGCCACTACAAGCTCCACCAGGCCAGTGCTCCTCCTCACCCCAGGACCACCGCCCAGAACTGTGACCCAGATCCAAGCACGGGCTCCTGCCTCAGTGCTCCCTGCAATCCGTCTCTGATCAGCCACTGGATTCCCCCCTCAGTCTATGGGCTGGAAGCTCAGGAGGCAGCTGCTCCCCCACGGTTATGCTCTCGGGGAACTGGATCTGAGACCCCGCATTCCTTTCTCAGAACCGCAGAAACAGACTTTTCCCACTGACCTTCTAAGTTGTCTTTGGCGTTTGTGGATTGAGGAATCTGGAAACTGCCACAGCTGCTCCAGGTTCGCTGAGGCCTGCCCGCCCACACCGCACTGAGCTCCTCTCCCAGCCAGGTGTGATATACCTCTCTGATCAATCATCTAGGTTGTCTTGGGCTGGAAATTTGTTTCACTCTGTCTTTTTGTGTGTTCTGCTGCTTTAGAATTTGTTTAGAGCCATTTTTATGAGTATTTGGAGGGGTTTGGGGGAGAGCTCAAGCAAGTCACTGCTTTCACTCTGCCATCTTGGCTCTGCTTGTATCTAAACTCCTTGAGAAGGTGATCTACAATCAATACTTCCAATTCCTTTCCTCTCTTCTTAGCTCTACTGGCTTCCAGTTTCATCGTTTAACTGAAACTGTTCTCTCCAAAGTTACCAATGATCTCTTAATTGCCAAAGCTAATGGTCTTTTCTTAATCCTCAGTCCTCCTTAACTTTTTCTTTTTAGGCAATTGAGGTTAAGTGACTTGCTCAGGGTCACACAGCTAGTAAGTGTCAAGTGTTTGGTCTGAGACTGGATTTGGACTCGGGTTCTCCTGACTTCAGTGCCAGTGCTCTATCCACTGTGCCACCTAGCTGCTCCTCTCCTTGACTTTTTAATAGCCTTTCACATGGTAGATTATCCTAATCTCTTTGTTAGTCTTCTTTCTAGTTTTTTTTTAGATACTATTGATTTTCCTCCTTCTGTCACCTCCAAGATCAAATACAAAATCCTGTTTGGCATTCAAAGCCTGACCCTCCTCCTTCCAGTCTTCTTACATCTTGTGACTCCCTACACCCTCTGTGATCCAGTGACACTGGTTTCCAAACTGTTCCTTGAACAAGACACTTTGTCACCCAACTTCAAGCATTTTCATCGGCTGTGCCCTATGCCTAGAATACTCTCCTTTCACATTTCTACTTCCTGGCTTCCCTGGTTTTCTTTGAGTCATAGCTAAAATCTTACCTTCTACTGGAAGACTTTCCTAATCCTTCTTAATTCTAGTGCTTTACCTCTGTTGATCATTTCAAATTTATCCTATGTATAGCTTATTTGTAGATAGTTGTTTGTAGGTTGTCTTCCCCATTACACTGTGAGCCCCTTGAGTTCAGGAGCTGGCTTTTGCCTTTCTTTGTGTCCCTAGTGCTTAGCACAGTGTTTGGCACATAGTAGGCATGTAATAAATGTTTAACCAACGGACTGGATAAACGTAATTAATCCAGTGACTAGAAATTATGTAAGTGACCAGGAGAAAGGCCTGTAAATACAAAGGAAAGAAAATTCTAATAACACAAGACTATTCTGTATCTACCATGTTCCACAGGAGGGAATGGAATACTGTATCCTCAATAGCAAAGGAGTTCAAGATGCAACCCAAGGACTCACACCTTGAAAATCTGAGCTTAACCATTAATGGGAAAGGATAAATGTTCAATAAAAAGGAAGCACTTGAAACATTCCTACTAAAAAGAAAAAAACAAAAACAAAAACAACCACCCAGATATGAATAGATTACTTGCTTT